CCCCAAAACCCCAAAACCCCAAAACCCCACTTCATTATATTTACTTTTTTTTACTGATGAATAAATATTAAAATTTATAATACATTGAGGAATCATTTTTATTTTATCCAGTTGTTTACGCCAACGCTAGCTATTAACAAAGGTAGATTATCTATCTATTCTTCCATTTCTGCATCACTTAAAGCTAAAAAATCTTAATAGAGATAAAGATTACCAAAGATAAATGGAGAATCAATTAAGTATTATTTGATTGGATTGATGTCAAATTTGAGACCCTCATTCTGATATTTGCCTTTGCTTGTCTCTATTTAGATAACATTGTGACAAGACTGAACTTAATAATCTGAATCTATATTGAATTTCACTATTTCTTGATACTCTTATCTAATTTCCAATTTAAACGAAGGTATCAGAACTTCTTCAGTTTTTAATTAAGATATCTCGCAATTCTTAAGGATATTTTGAATTTCAAGAGAGAGATTTTCAGTTCCTTCAGATATCACACTCTTAGGTATGATGATTACTTTGAGCTTTTCATCATCAGTTGGGATAATTACTAAATCCTGTCCTTGCTATTTGTTTGTTGATTTATTCTTGTAGCTAACTCTCATAATTTGTTCAGATTTTATTCTTTGATAGTAGTAACCATTGTGAGTAATTAAATCAAATGGAGGAAACCTGCAAACAAGACTCAAGATTGAAGCTAAATAGGTATCTCCTTTGAGATAAGAATCAACATCTATCCCTTATGATTTTAGCATTTTTTAAATTTCATCTAGGTTATCAGAAACAATCGATCTCTAAGCAGGAAATTGAGACTCTTTTGGTAGACTATCAGCTAATGATACTAATTTTGAGAGACCCTCATCCTTAATTCTGGGATTGTTATCTGAATATTTACTTTCAAGCTTTTTGTCTTCCTTATAATGCTTCAAAGCACCTATAGTGCAAGAGATAAGGCATATATCTGACTGTTCTTAGAAGTCTCCATCATAATCATCTTCATCTTCCTCTTTTTTCTCTAATACCATCACAGTACTGGCTTTAACTGTCAGTGGTTCGAGTCCACTCTTAATATTTCTAAGGTTTGCATCGAAAGAGCTAACATTAGCAGTCCTATTGGCTTGCATAACTTATGCTCGTTTACCCGTATTAGGATCATTACTAAGGGTTTTCCACTTAAATCCACATTTAGTGAAAGGGTTTTTAACATCAGGATCAGCTTAGAATTTACCAGTAGCTTCATCCTTCATATGATATATCTCAATTCTGACATTATTACAATCTACATTTTTCCAAATGAAATCCATTACTTATTATGTAGCTTTCTCTAAAAGGGAAAAATCTTTAGTACTCAAATGTCGTATAAATCCTCTAAATTCATTTTAAGCGGTATAATCAACATTAAAAATAGCTAAGCCAAGTACATCATCAGAATCAGAGGAAGTTATTTTAATGTAATGTCTTTCATACCCATTGTTCTATTTTTGAAGTAATAACTCATAATCATAGAATGACTATTAAAGACGTGAATCAATCTAAAGTAGATAATTTTGCAAGAATGATGGAAAATCTCTTTCATGTAGACCTAGAGGTTTCAAAGCAATTTCAATTTCTTTTGGTAATTCAATGACTTCTTCTTCACTTTCATCACTCTATGGTAATTAATAAGCTTTAGAAACCGCTTAAACTTCATTTTTCTGGGATCTTGGCGTTTCTTGAACCTTTTATTCATTAGTCTAGATTGAAGGCTACTATTTTATAGGAGTCTATTCTTCCTTCTTTGGCTAAAGGGATCTAAGACTATGTAAAACTGGTTCATCATTTTAATTGTTTTAATCTAATGATTAGTATTGCTACTCATTATTGAATTGAATTTTCTTAGCTATTTAATCATGCTGCAACGACCTTTAGTTTTAATGATCACTTAAGATTGGATTTGATATGTTATTGTTTGACTGAGTCTAATGATTGTTTGAAAGTACCCTATTTTTATCGGAGGGGTTCTAGTAATCCGGATTATGATTGTTCAGAGAAATTCCACCATTATTTTCCTTTTCCTCAGTCTATGAAGCATTCTTCGCCTTCTTATCTGAGTTAACCATTTAAACTAGTCTCACATTTTAGGATGAAATAGCATTTCTCAATTCCCCTCTTTCCATTGTAATTAATTCTTCACTAAAAATTAGTTTTCAAAGAATAATGATATACCATTCTCTAGCTCTATTAAGTATATTTTCTGGTAACGGCAGAATGTGCTTCTCCTCATTCCTCATTTTGCCTTTTTTACTATTATATTATGAGTTAAATGTATCAATCTTACATTGCACTAATTCCACTTCCCGCAGCTAATTAGCTTCTTTATTATAAACTACATGCAAATAAAAATGGATCACTAGAGACTCCTTCCTTGAAATTGAAGTATCTTGCAATTGGAAGCTGCTAAAAATGGGAAGTATCATTTCTCATTTTTATCAAATAGTTTAGATTATCCTTTGTCAAGTATGGTTGAGGAATATTTTGCTTCAATTTATGCTTGGATACTTTATTTGTGTTGCTTAATAATGCAAGATATCTTAACTAATCTCTCCATTTTCCAATTCTTTCAACAACATGAATAGATAGTAATCTTAAATTTTGTAGCTGAGCGGCTATCTAATAAATAAATTTTAGTTAAAAATTAGTAAATACTTGTTCGATGAGTTCCTGTGCATTTTGGGCATTAATATCATTAGTTTATATTATGCCTGCAAAATCCTATTAAGAAAGTAGCTCAATTTATTTTATGCATTCTTCTCTTGCTCTTATTGCAATTTCAACTCTCTATAAATTAAAAATTATTTTATGCTTGTATTCATTAATTACCTAAACTAGCGATTGCTCTTTTGTAAAATCTTCTATTTCTTTTTAAACAATTGGTACAACTATCTTTGGATTTTATGATTAGAGACTCTCTATGAATTTAATCCTGTCAAGTAATGAATTATAAAGACTTTAAATACCTATGCCAATTAGGAATCTAGTATCGATTCCATAGACTTTGGAGCTGAGCTTAGAAAAAATTCTATGCGTCCTCATTTATTTCTTGGTCTTGATTTTAGATAACATGCCCTCTATTTTATGAAACAGCTACTCTCAACCTTTATGGTCTTGATACCTGCTGATTGGGGATGCTTTAAACAACATTTTATAGCCCTCTATTCATGACTACTTGACTGCCACTTTGACTTCCACTTCTTTGCTTGCTTTTACCAGCTATAAATTAGGAGTTATACTATTTATTTTTTATTCTTACGGGAACCATCTGAATACATTGACTGCTAATGACCACCCTCAAATGGCTGTCTACGTTGAGGTCTAATCCCTCCTGGCTTTAGAATAGCATGCATATACTGATTATATCTCTTTTTCTTCTTAAGTATTCCAATATAACCCTGACAGTATTTATCTTCATATACTTTATAATCTGGAATATGCTAATTTGTGAAACCATCATTCCAATCTCTTCCATGTACATTTATCTAAGGTAATGTCATTTACTCTTTTTGATTATTCCTTACTCTCTTCTTTTTATGCTTTGATTTCGGTAATGGCACAGGATATTTATTTTAGTTTACATCAATTGATGTCTTTTCAGATTACTCGTGAATTAACTAAGTAGGAGGTTTAATTAATTGTGGCTATTAATAGAGCATTTATTGCTACTGTTGTTGCAACATCTTAAATATATTTTTAATTATTATTAACAGACTTTAATTCATTTCCATTTCCTTAATTATTCTTGTTTATCCGATGTTCACTGGGGTTTTGGGGTTTTGGGGTTTTGGGGA